AAAGAAAGAAAGAAAGAAAGAAAGAAAGAAAGAAAGAAAGAAAGAAAGAAAGAAAGAAAGAAAGAAAGAAAGAAAGAAAGAAAGAAAGAAAGAAAGGCAAACAGACTTCTGTACAATCCAGGACAGTAGGTCTAGAACATGGCAGTAGTCAATGAGAGCCGTCTACCATTTGTGAAGAAAAAGTAGTGATTCACCACTCTCTTCTATCCCAAGACTCCTACAGAAGTCTTGGAAACTTGCTCTGAGGGCAAAAGGGTTGTGAAGCCCATCCCACCACCCACTCCTATGGGAAGAAAACTCTCCCTGTGTATCGGGAAAAGGAGCCTGAGCTGCCCTGGCTCTCCTCACACTCTGCTCTAGGCTCTTCCTCTGTTTCTGTTAGGGAAGCGGTGACTCATGTTACGGAACCAGTGCTGAGAGCTCTCAACAATGCCATTATTGGTAAGTAAAATGCTGTGAAAGGAAAATATGGTGGCATCAGCAAGAAGAATGGTTGAAGTCAGTAGCTCTAGGACCTAAGCAGCAGCACCATATTTATGTATAAAGCTCATGCTACTAGCACTTCTGAGCCCTTACAGCAGGAAGCACTTAGATGAGGTGCCTTGCAGCACACTCCTGGGAGACACATGCTTTCTTCCTAGTAGCGAGATCCACTTAGACAGCACACAAGACCAGGTGAGATAGATACAGCCATATTTCTGCATCAGAAATACGCAATAACTGTGGTCAAAATGCCTTTATTTTGAACAAGGCACCTGAAGAATGGGGAGCCACTTAGGACAGCAGGAGAGGAGAAAACTCTTCGAGAGGCTCTTGCAGGGAGCTCATGGGAAGAGCTGTTGCACTGGATGGACATGGAGGTTGCACAGTGCTGAAGAATTAGGAATCGTGTCCGAGAAAAAAGCAAAACAAAAAGCAACACAGAACTCTCAGGATCTATGTCTCTAAATGATTTCTAAAAGAATACTTGTAATTACGGTGGAACTAGATGCAGCTAAGCGTCCTCTTTCTGTAATCTCCTTAAAAGAGAGAAAGCCACTGTCCAAGAAAATGCAAGAACTGTAAAAAAAGGTCAGTATGGGCCACACCGCCTTTTGTGGTGCTAAAGCCACTGCTCAGAACGTCTTAAGATGTATCTGACACCAGGACCTCCTCCATCTTCACAGTCAAATCCATACTTCCTTCTACAAATCCATCCTACTTCCTTCCCCTCTTTCCTCTCAGTCTCTGCAGACTTTAGCCGTTGCACAGAACCCTATGGAAACAGCTTCTCCTTCCCTGCTAGCTCTTAAACACCTCCTCTCCTCTCCTCTCCTCTCCTCTCCAGTGAGCCATGCCCAGGAGTGCACAGCGCAAGCTCTCAGCTTTGGGCTCACCTGCAAGAAACACTGAAAGTACTCCCAAAGTTGCCTCCTTTGCATGGTGCTTCTTAACAGGAAGCCAAACATCCCCCCCTCTTCCCCCCAAAAACCCCACTCTCCCCATGTCTTCATCTTCCATTCCCTCCTTACCCATAAAGGATATGACATTTCCCTCAAATGCAATGCTTCGGTAGCAGTCTCAGTGGAGGCTGCTAAGCAGCACCAAGAGGCATATTTGAGACAGGAAGGATGTCAGTTTGACAGCTTTCCTGTGGCCCACTGTTTCTGAAATTTCTGAGGAAAATGACAACGTTCAGGGAGGCACTGTACTGTGCAAGTACCGCTTAGACATTGATTTCTGCCAAACTGAAGCGCCTTTAGAGGAAATCTGTCTCTAAACACCTATCCCAGGTAGCCCTAGGCTGGACCTTCAGCAACCTGTTGGGTATCTCTGAGTAGAGCAGCCAGGGGAAAAGAGGCAATCTGGCGAGCCTGGCGTGGGAGAAATACCTTGGGAAAAGGAAGCAGGCTGGCTTTAGCCGTCCGGTCCACGGGGAATGATCTGACAGCAGGGGTGCTAGGCAAGCAGCGCGGCAGCATCTGGAGCCTGTGGGGAAGGCAGAAGCCCCAGGGCAGGCAGAGGGAGCAGCCGCAGCTCCCAGGAGCACAGCCTGCCAGCTGCGCGCGCTGCGCGAGCTCCCTGCCGCCTGCGGGAAAGCGCAGCGCGGCCAGCGGTCCCTCCTCAGGCACGGGGCAGAGAGCACTGCATCTGCTCAGGTGCCTTGGGCTTCGCTGCAGCTCAGGCTGCTGCTTCCCTTGGCGTCAGCCTGGTCCATGCCAGGTGCCTCTCCTGGCTTGCCAGCCGGCTCCAGGCTGAACTCCAGACACCACTGCAAATACGTTATGTCTGGGGCTAAACCTTAGGGAATTTGGTGTGATCTTATGAAGGCTCAGAGGCTGACTGCATGTTTTGGCAGCCAGGCCCACGTTAGCCTGTCCCAAAAGTCACAAATCTTTACAAATAGAAACTGGATGCTGCAAAGGCATAAGTCATGGTGTCTGCTAGACACTGATGCTAGCTCAGAATCTGCCCAAAGGCACTTACAGGCAGAGTAAAACCGGAACGTGTGTTGCACCTTTACCATCGTCTAAGAGGGAGAAACGGACATTGGCACTGACTCAGGGCACTTCTGACAAACAGCAGAACTAAGAAGAGCACAAGATGGACTCAGGCTGCGACTCAAACACGAGTGAGCTCTAGCTGTGAGTTTCTGCTAGTACCCTTTGCTCCTTTCTTCCCAAGGAGATATCCGGTGCATCTATCTCTATCTAGCCGAGCAAACTGCTTCTCAACTTCATATATGTTTCCTGCTTCGGACCTTGCCAGAAAGACAAACTATTTTGCTCTTGCCAGTTGTAAACACTACACATTGGCCAGGGAAATGTTGTGCTTGTTTGCCATAAATGTAATTAGATGATCAATCTTGCACAGCTGAGAAGAAACACTGGCATTGCAAACATTAGCATTTGTTCCCTTGCCTTTTCTGAAAAGAATGAGGAGAAAAGGGCCGGTGCTGCACGCACAGCTTCTCTCCCATTTCCCCTCTTTCCTGCCATTTCCTGCATAGAGTAGCAGCCAAATAGCAGAGCCGCTGCAAGGTGTCTGGAAAGCACGTAGGCTTGCTGAGAGAGACTGCTTTCCTCTGGGCAGCAAACAGCTTCCCTGCGAGGCCGTATCTGAGCCTGGAGCAGGGCCATTCAGCGAAGCAAATGGGATGGGGATCGGAACTGGTCGGGAAGTACTTCTGATCCTCTGGAAAGGGCAAGCTGCGCGATGCTCTCCATCACACAGGCCATGCTGCTGCACCATCTGGCACCAAACAAGGCTGCAACCTTGCTGCTCCCTCCTGCCCTTGACCTCTCAGCAAATCCACATCTGGATTAGCATAACTATACTAAAATCCTGTGTGGGCTGCATGGGCAAATGAAAGTCGCTTCACTGCAGATAATTCACACAGAAATGGGTTGCATTTCAGGACTCTACCCACATTCTGCATCCAAAGCCTCAACAAAGAGATTCACTTACTCCTTGGGCTCTGCATTGCCAAGGGTTTCAGCATGCAGGGTTGCAGAAGTCATCAAGGCCACAAGGAGAGCAAACACCAGCGTGGTACATCGATAAGCTCCGTGCCAGCAGCGTCTCGGAGACCGCAGCAATACGGCACAGCTCAGAAGGCCCAGACCCTGGTGGGCAGGATCTCTCTCCAGCTATTGCAACGTAAACAGACACGGAAAGCTTCAGCACAGAGAATACAAGCATCTTCCTCTGTAAACTGCTGCTGCTGATGCATAACATGACAGTCAGTAAACGCTTTCTGACCCTCTACGGAAGAAGTCAAGCAGGCAGCATAGCAAGATGTAAAATTAGGGTTTGCACCATCTTTTAGGCCGATAGCCTTACAGGTCACTGCGTGGGCAGTTCCGAAGTCTGCTGTTCTCTAAAGGCTTCCTGAAAGACTGGCACGTCCCAAGTCTTTCTGCTCTGTCCCTGTACTTTTTCAATGGTAATTCCTTACATCAGAGCAAACCATCTGGAAGACAAGTCAGAACATCAAAAGGAAAAAAACTAGAAAGCTCCCCCGGAACTGCCAGGACAGCATTTTAACTGTAAGGTACTGCCAGAACCCTTCAGTCTG